TACACATGACATAATTAAAGCATAGTGATTAATCACAAAAACAATATGTAATTATAGTATGTGTTTTCCGATGGTCTTAGGCGACCCCTGTGAAAGGTTCGTTCGACCCCCAAAGGGGTCGCGACCCACAGGTTGAGAACCGCTGCTCTAGTGGGAGTGTAGACCTCTGTCCTTACAGGTGAGCCACCGGGGCCAGAGCAAGCCAGGCACTAGCCCAGGGTCACACAGAATTACTGCAGGACAGGCCCAGGCCTGGGTCTCCTGATGCCCGTCTGAAACCGCCTGTGTGCCCTGAGCACCTGGCCCTGTCCGGCGGCCGAGCGCGGAGACAGTGGGCTTCTGCTGCGCACCCGGAGGCCCCTCCTGCTGCCTCCTCAGGGCCCCGAGCTCCCGCCTGTCTCACACCCTCTGGATGGGAGAAGCCTGGGGTAGGCTGTTGCCCATGGCCAGCTGCTGCCCGCTCCGGCAAACGCGGTGACCTGCGTGGGAGGGGTTGGCCTCTGCCGGAAGAAGCGGCTGACTTCCAAGGAAACGGAGTCACCACTGGGCTTCCCCTGGCGGAGGATGTTCTGAGCCAGACCCAGTTCTCAGCATCGGGGAGGCTCTCCTCGCCCCTCGCCCGGCCCCCTGCCAAGAAGCCTCCACTCACCTGAGCCCCACGTTCTCTGCAGCTCCGTCTGCTTCTCCCCACCGCACCAGTGCCCTGCGTGCTCACGGCGTTCCTCTGTCTGCGTGTGTCTCTCCCTGAGGGTCAGGGCCCGGGCCTCCTGGTACCTGCGGTGGCTCCCCCACTTCCTCTGACACTGCTTGCTCCCTTCCCTCCTCCCGGGCTGTGGCAGAACCCTCTGCAGGTGCTGTCATCCGTCAGTCCTCCCACGCCCCTCTGCACAGAGGGATAATTCAGACTTTTCCTCCTAAACGGGGTTTTGGGAAAAGTCCTTACTTCGAATGCGATGCAAGCCTGTCTGTCGGGATTGTATTTGACCACGCCTAACAAAACCCATCTAGCCCTGGTTCCAGCTGGTGTGAGCATGGATTGCTCCTTGCAGAATGAGAAGAGGGGGCGTCCAGAGAGGGGAGGGCCTCAGTGATGCCCTCGGAGACCAGCCTCCCCACGGCTCCTCCCTCGGCTGCAGTCTTCGCTGCCTGTCCACAGTCTCCTCCTCCGGGTGGTTGTGTCAGTGTCGCAGGCAGGTGTGAGGGCCAGAGCTGACGGCTGTATGAGAAGGTGGACCCGTAAGGTGTTCACAGGCGCCACATGGGAGGCGTTCCCCTCCTCCTGATGTCCCACTGTCCTGGGGGTGACCAGGCTGGCTTGCCGAGCTTGCCGAGCATCCCGCCCCCCACTCTGTGGAACCCTGATTGGGTGGAAGCACAGTGAGCGCTGCTCCCGCTAGAGCACGCTGCGGGGCCCGCTGGTCAGAGCCTCCAGATCTCGGGAGAAAGGTTTGGAAGCTGAGATAAAGCACCCGCTCCTTTAATCAAAGGATGGTCCTTGGGAAGTGCGCGCTCCACCCAGCAGACAGCTGCCCGAGCAGCACAGAGGGCGGCCTCGCTCCACCGGACCTCAGCTGGCGCAGCTGAGAGGTCACAGCTGTGGGGGCCGCGGGGGAGGGACACTGTCCTCCCACTGCTCCCCGACTTCTGTTCTGGGCCGCTCCCCCCATGGTAGAGACCCCTGGACTGGTGGTGGTGCCCGCGGGGGACTTAGCTCGGACCCTTCAGTCCTGAGCAGCCTTTGGTGACCTCTGTCAGCCAAGTCCAAGGGTCCTGAAGTCCATTGCGGGCAGCGATGCTCTGTCACACGGGGAGGAGAGGAGGCGTCCTGGCGTGCATCTCGGCCTGGCCAGCCAGCTGTGCGCGCAGGCCAGGGTGTCAGCCAGCAGGAGCCTCGGTCCCCATCCGACTGGTGCGGTGTCGGGAGCTCGGGACAGCAGCGTCCTGTGCTGTGCCCTCTGCTTTCACGTGGCAACTGAGACACGCCGCCCACGTGTGAGCGCCCTTCCCATCATGGGACGTGGAGGCCAAGGGAAAGGTCGGCGTATTCTCCATCCGCCCCTCCTGGCATCATCCGCACCTTGCACCGTGGTGCAGTCTCTTCTTACTGAATAAAAACAAAACAAAAACAAGAAGGAAAGAAAAAAACAGTGAGGCATGAACTTGAATTCAGGGTAGATTTAAGAAGACAGGCTTCTAACAGACGGGTTTACTGCTGTTTACGAGGCAAGACTGGAGCAGTCGCCTTCCTCTGTGGGGCCAGCACTGAGAGACCCCTCAGTCCACCAGCCGCCTGCGTGGCACCCAGGGCCTCTGTCCCGGGCCTGTGTCCCCGCCTCTCACCTGCCAGGGGGCACCCACAACCAGAAGCCCACTCCGCCACGAGTTTCGGGAAGCCACACATGTCCAGACACAACTTCAGCAAACATCTCACATTCCTCTCCTTCCTGCTCTCCTCCTGCTTCCTTCCTCCTGCGGATTCCCCGTCCCCCTGGCCCAGGGCTGCGGGGAGAGGCCCGTCTTCGTCCGCAGGCTCTGCCTCCCCGTAAGCAGAGCCGGCTGGAGAACCCCAAGTTAGCTCCTTGAGGAGCTCTGCTCGCACTCGTTTTCTTGGATACCTTTTCCCGTTTGGAGCAGAAGCACAGAGCAGCTTGTGGCACCAGTTGAAATGGCTGCGGGATGCCTCCCTGAAGACCCTCCCCCACTGCCCTTGGGGGATGAAGAGGGGGGAAGGAGCGGGGGTGCGGCGGGGAGAGGCAGACCACTTCTCCTTCGTCCTGTCTTCCCTTCCCACTCCCACTCGGGGCCGCTGCCTGGACTCGGGGGCAGGACACTGGGGGCTCAGGTCCTGCCTTGTTGGTGCAGCAGTTCTTGCCCGGGCATCAGGTATTGGTGTCGCCATCAGCTCTGGCTGCTGCAACAAAGCACCATCGACTTAGACAACAGCTGTGTATTTCTCACCGTCCGGAGGCTGACAAGTCCAGGATCAGGTGCCGCTGAGTCGGTGTCTGGGGAGGGCCGCTTCCTGGTTTGCAGGGGCTGCCTCCTTGCTCTGTGCTTGCGGAGACCTCCCTCCCTCCTCTGTTAAAGGTGCTAATCCCAGCAGGCGGGTCCCACCCTCAGGACCTCATCTAACCCGAATTACCTCCCAGGGGCCCCACCGCCCCATACCATTGTATTTGGGGTTTAGGGCTTGAACATAAGACTTTGGGAAGATACAGTCAGTCCCCAGCAGTGGGATGTCCCCCCAATATTGCCCGGCCACTGCATCGCTGGAATAGGGTCCTTAGCGCACAGGAGTGGGCACCCGGACACAGTGTAACAGGATGGGCAAACGGGAGCATGGGCCTGGGCGTGCTCTTCGTGTGCTGCCAGTGGCCTGAGAACCGGGGCCTCACGTCACTGCCCCGCCTGGCCATTCCCTCTGTGAGGCCCTTGGGGAGGGTTCCCGCACCTCCCAGTCTTTGCACGTTTATTAAACAATCACTGTGCCTCTTCCCACTGCTGCGGTTTATGGGCTTTGGGGTCCAGAAGCCTGAGCCCCAGCCCGGCTGCAAATCAGGGCGGGTGGGCAGAGCAGGTGGGAGCAGCAGCCTGCAGGCCACACCTCCTGCTGACTCCCCAGTCAGGCTCCAAACCCTGTCCCTCTCGCCCAGAGGGTCAGCAGGGGAGTGTGGGGGCCAGGTGCTGGCGGGTGGAGGAATGAGAATGCACAAGCCCATGGGGAGAAGGGGCGGCCCCCAGGTCTGACTCCTCCGCTCGTGGTCAGACTTTGCATTCCTGGAAACATGCTTGACGGTGCGCCTTCCTCTCGGGCCTTTGGAGGGGCTCCCCACCCTTGCTGTCCTGCTGCCAGAACATCCTTTCGAGTCCGTGTATCCTAATCTTCACTCCCTTTTCCAGGTAGGCAAGTGGCCAGTGTTCGGGGCTTCCGGAAAGTGTGGGCTTGGCTGGGTCCACTCCCCCGTTCCTGCTCTTCCCTGGGGAGGGCCCCCAGGGGAGGGTGTGCACGGGGCCCCTTCCTGCCCTCTGACCCTCCTGTTGTGTGTCCTCCACAGCCTGCGACTGCCACCCCGTGGGCGCTGCTGGCAAAACCTGCAACCAAACCACCGGCCAGTGTCCCTGCAAGGACGGCGTGACCGGCATCACCTGCAACCGCTGCGCCAAAGGCTACCAGCAGAGCCGCTCCCCCATCGCCCCCTGCATAAGTACGCGGGCGCCTGCTCCTGGGGCTCGGGCTTGGGTGCGGGTGGAGGGCCCTTTCTGGAGGCGGGTCCCGCCATCCAGGGAGTATAGTTCATGGGTGCGATCTCTGCCTGGGTGGGACCCCGGGTGGGACCCCAAGCCGTGGGGTGCTTGCTGGCGCACAGCAGAGCCAGCTTGTCTGGGGCTGTCTGTCCTGACCAAGAATGAGTCGGGGAAGCGAGCCCACTCCTATGCCTGGGTCCTGTTCCCATGTGCCACCTTGACCTTGGACCTGAGTGGGTGGGTGGGCAGAGCAGGTGGGGGCAGCAGCCCGGAGGTCACACCCCCCTGGTGACTCCCTCAGACCTGGCAAACCCCAGAGCCCCATCCGGCTTCAAACCTTGTCCCTCCCAGCCAGAGGGCCTGTACCTGGGCCACCATTGCTGCTGTGGGAATTCACCCCCCTGCTGCTGGCCGACGCCAGGACTCTTGAGGGAAGCTGGGAAGGCTCCCATGGCCATAATGAAGGATGGGAGCAGCCCCCAGGGTCCTGGAGGCCCCATTGGGCCAACCATGACCCCTTAGTTGCTGGAGCTTGGAGAGGGAGTGACGAGGTGGCAGGGGGCCTTGGCTCAGCCAGTCTTCATGTTTTACAACCGGTGGCATCACACAGGGGTCGTGAGCAGAGGCTGAGCCCTGGCGGAAGCCGGGTCTGGGGCGTGCAGGCCGGGCCTGCCCCAGAAAGGAGGGCAGAGGGAGGAGCCGAGCCCAGCCCGCGGGGCGGAGCCTGACGGAGTCTGCTTCTCCGGAGCAGGGTTGGCACACCTGCCGGGAGGTTCCCGCCACCTGGTTTTATACGGCTGCAAGGGGTGTGTGTGTGTGTGTGTTTACCCTTTTTAAATGACTGAAACAAAAAACAAAAGAACACTGCTGCTTCCCGTGTGCAGATGATAGGAAAGTTCAGTGTCCACAGGGAAAGTTTTATGGGGACACAGCCGGGCCCGCTGTTCACAGGCGCCTTTTTGAACCGTAACCACAGAATCGAACAGCTACAATATAGACCTGTGACCTAACTGTTTCTACCTGGGCCTCCACAGGAGAGGCCGGCCAGCCTGCTTAAGGGTGTCAGCGTCCTTTAGCACTAAGAAGGGCACTGGCCCTTCTGGTCTGTCACAAGGCACCTGGGGCCTTGGAGTGGTCCCCATGGACCTTGCAGAGAACCCTACGTACACACGTGCACACACACATACACACACGCACACGCACACTCACACGCACACACACACACACAGAGGCAGGAGCTTTAGCCGCTGCGCCTCACCTGCCCCAGCTGGGGTGGCCTTCACCTTCCAGGACACGTCAGGTGGTGTCCGTTCCGGCGGCGCCAACCAGCTTCTAAGGCAGGATGTGTGGCAGGGTCCAGTGCCAGCCAGTGACCCAAAGCCCAGCCTCAGGAAATTGAGCTCAGTGCCCACCGGGGCAGAGCAAGGTGAAAGGGTTCCCACAACATGCCTCCCTGCCGGCCTCCCCACGTTCAGCAGTCCCTCCACCCACCCAGGAAGCGGCAGTGACACCAGGAGCGCTGGGCGGAAACCGTGCCGCCACCTGGAGAATGCAGACGGGGAAACGGTCTCCCTTTTAAAGGGAGTCAGGAGCTGTCAGGTTGCTCAGAGGCGGCAGGAACCAACATTCCCAGCGCTCAGGGCAGACCCGGCAACGAAGTGGATGTTTCAGACTCCGAGACAGGGACCTGGAAAACGGGGGCTCGCGCTTCCTGACGCTCAGTACCTTCCCCCGTCCGTCCGCCCCGAGGCAGGTGATGCCAGGAGAGCTGGCCCACCAGCAGCCTAAACACCTGGTCTCCCTCCCGGGGTTCCCACGAGCTCTGCAGAGAGCACCCGCTGCAGGTGCCCGACAGTGCCCCGAGGACTGCTGTCACGGCTCGGGGAGCCACAGGCCCCCTGTGCACAGGTGCCAGCCCCCAGGCCAGTGTGGCTCCGTGGCCATCGGCCTCTGCTCCACTTGGGGACATGCAGGGTTGGGCTGGACTGTGCGGACGCCCCCTCTGGGGTGTTTCTGCTGGGACCAGGTAGCTCCTAGGGATCGAGGGGGGCCTGGTGTAAGCTGCTGTGACTGCCTGGTTGCTGCTGATAAAATCCATCGAGCGCAAGATTTGCCTCCACATTGAGGGCTGGGTCCTCTGCCCATTCCTTCCGGAAGGTGTTCCTGCCGTAGCGCCCGGGTTTGCCCCCAGCCTGAGTGTCCCCAGGTGCCCAGCTCCACATGGCTCCAGTCCTAGCTGGTCTAGATCTGGGGCTCCAAGGGAGGTCTTATCCCAACAGTCAGAGGGCAGCCAGAGTCCTCAGGGCTCTCAGAGGCCTCTGTGGTCACTCACCAGGGAGGCCCTGTCCCTCAGGGACTGTGGTCCCTGGTTTGGCCTCATTTAGAAGGAAGAAGCCTCAGCTGTGGTACCTGGCCCATCCTGGGGACCAGCTGCACCCCTCCCTTTGCAGAGCATGGGGTGGAGCAGGAACTGGTGGGAACTGGCCGCCACCCTAGGTAGAAGTGGAGTGACCACAATAAGGCGCACTCTTCCATAGGCCCCTTTTCCTTCCGTGGTGTTGGTCTCTACTGCCCACGGAGACAATGCCCTAGCTGGTGAGATGTGCCCATGGGAACCTGGGTAGGGGTGCAGACCCCTTTCTGCACATGTGGGACACCTCCCAGCCACCTTAGGTGCCACCCCTGCCATGGGCACCTTCCCCCCCCCCATGAGTTGAGGTCAGAGGTGAGCAGGGCCTAGTCAGCCACATGGAGATGAGCAGGGGGCCTGGGGAAGCCCCTGTCCGCCACCTCAAGGGCTCAGCAGAAACACACACACACACACACACACACACACACACACACACACACCCCACCCCCTACCTGGCCCCGGCTCAAGGGCGAGGGCAGCCCAGCTTCCCTTCTCCTCACTCCGGTCCCTCCTCAGTGTCGAGGAGTGTGGGCATCCCTGCGGGTGGAGGAACAGCTTCCACAGGAGAACAGGCAGGGAGCCTGGGCACCCCCTTCCCCAGCTGCCTCCTCCTTCCCGACCATCCTTTCCTGGAGCTGGGGTGATGGTGGGGGGGGGTGGTGAGGGGACACTGGAAGGCTGGGAGGGATCTGTGCTGTGCTCATCCTTCTCTAAGGTCAGAAATAACACCTTCTCACCTCACTTTCCCCTCCTCCCGTCCCGAATCTTGCAGAGATCCCCGTGGCGCCGCCCACCACTGCAGCCAGCAGCGTGGAGGAGCCGGAAGGTAGGCTGGCCCCCTCTGCTCATCTTTTTGGGAGGGGTGGGTAGGGAAGGGGGTTAGAGGGGCCAGAATCCTCCCAACCACCACCAGGGCGCTCCTTGGCATGAGTGGTTCCCCGGCTGGACTGAGGAGGATGGAGCCCCAGGGCATTTTTCTGGGAGCCCCCCCGCCAAGAATAAAAGAGAGGGGTTTACTCTGCCTGTGGCTAGCCTCTCTCCAAGCCCAGGATGCTCACAGCGGCTCCTCTTGTTCATCCACCAAGTTAAGAAGCGGCCTGAGCCCAGCACCATCCGACGGGGCCACGTAACCCCTTCCGGGGGCTGCAGAAGGTCCGGGAAGGAGGTGGCAATGCCTTCCTGAGCAGCAGAACAGAACAGGGGGCCGCACACAGACATCGGGGTGGGGGACGGAGCTGGACAGGGAGAGAACCACATGCCACTGTCCCTCTCCTCTCGCTGAACGTGAGCATTTCCTCGGTTGCAAAGCTGGCCAGGAACCACGGCAGGGTCAGCAGCCCGGTGACCTGGGCACCAGCAGAAGTCGCAGGTGTTTCCCCATCCCATCGAGTGGCTGCAGGTATCCCAGAATGCCGTTTAGGTCACTGTCGCTTCAAAATTACGGGAGCCGCCAGGCCTGCTGCTGCCTCCCGACCTATAACCGTGAATAACGAAGCCACACAGTGCGGGGCTGCACCTCAACCTCGGGTTTTGAACGCGCTTGGATAAGTGTATTTTAGTGTATCCGTTTCCGTTGTAATGTCGACAAAAGAACGTCCAGCCTAAGAAAAATCTTAGAGGAGTGGACTGGAGCCAAACTGACCACATTTGCCGGGAAGCAAAATCTCAACGGAGTGAGAAAATGCTCCGGAGAATGGCAGCTTTACAGCTTCTTTTATACATTGCAATCAAAGGAGGAGGTGTAAGGGGGTTACATGAAGCCCAGTGGTGGTAGATTAAAGGGACGGGAGAAAGCAGAGTGAAGAATGTCTGGGACTGGATAAAAAGCGAAATGGAGAGACACTGCTTTTCATTGGCGGGTGCGGGATAGTTCGTAGTTAGCACTTACAGCAGCACGTGGAGATGGTATCGGGGGACAAGATAGCAATGTGGTGTCGGGTATGTGGTGGGCCCCGCGGGGTCTGGAAAAGGAGGTTACTCTGACATTTCTGAGGAATGTTAGTTATCGTAGATGCAAAAAGACAGGCAGGCTCAGCTAAGGTAAAGAGCGACCTCTGTCAGGGGAGCTACCGGCCTGGGATGCAGCCACCTGCCACGCCTGCTTTGAGTTGGGAATTGTACGTTCAGACCTTCCTGTGTGGTTACTTTCCGTCTCTGAGTATGCAGGCCTCCATGCAGGGCCCTGAGTGTGTCAGGTTTAGTATGTGGCCCCTTTCCCATCTGCAGTCGTCCCATGTGTTTTATTTTTGTATTTGGAGATAATACTGTGACAATGGTTGTCACCAGCCCTCGGCACAAGGGAGGTTACATGGGGCTCAGCCGGCTGGATGGGGCGCTGCATGGAGAGCAGCCAGGCTTGTATCCTGGTCCTGGGGTCACACAGGCCTTTCGTGTAATGGCACTTGGAGTAGGCGTGGGAATGGGGGGCCCATGTGGACATCAGTGTCAGCTCTGGGGACCCCCTTCCTCCTCTCCAGGGAGGACTGTAGGGAGGTGTGGGGGAGGCTTGCACACCCACGTGGTTGCCTGAATGTCTTAGAATAAAGACTAGGCTGGAGTGTTGGCCGTACGCTGGGAACTGAGAGAGAACCTTTCAAACTCGCCTATGTGCACAGTCAACGAACAGCCCCCAGCGAGGAGTGGACAGAGAGCATTTCAGGGAGTGCCGAGGTCACACCGGGAAAGCCAGGGACGTTGGTCTTGGGAAATTGGGTAGAGCCATCTAGTCACCTTTGGTCGAGCTGCAAGGGTCACTCACGGGAAAAACTGCAGGAGGAAGCAGCTCGGGGCCTGGGAGGCCGAGGCAGGAGCCGGCGTGAGGCTGAGGAAGGCCTTTCTGACCCGATTCAAAGGCACATCCCATCCAGCCCTGGGCAGCAGCTGGGCGAGCAGACGCCGCCACTCGCTGGGGTCCTGACTCCTGCTTCCGTGATGTGGCCTCAGCCGCTCAGAGCTCACCTGGCCCCGCGCCTGGGGCTGTGCACCCGGCTAGGCCGCGGCAGACCGGCATCTCGCTCTTGCCTCTCATTTTCCCAGTCCCTGTAGCGGTTTTGGCTTTTGCCCTTGCAAATCAGAAACGGGCAAATGGGAAAAAATAGAGGGAAAAAGAAAAACGACTCCCGAGATTCCTGTGCCGGCCACAGGAAGCTGGAGTATCTTCGTTGGACCAGACAAGATTCCCGAGCGAGCACTTACAAACACGTGCAGCTCCTCCTTTAAAGTCCTCTCCAGCAGTTCTTGGTTAGTTAGTTGCCTCTCTGTCTCCTTTTGTTTTTGTTACTGTTTCTTTCTTTTCTTCCCTGAACCTTTAAAAAGCATGCTGTAAATGGAAGCCAACAGTAAACACCCTTTACAAAGCTCTTTGCTCACCGAGGGGCTGAGCAAGCAGGTGTGATCCTCATGCTTTGACCAGACCCCTCGCACCTTCTCTGGTGGATGCCCAGGATCTGGTGCTCGCACCCGAGGACCAGGGCCGTGCCCGGGCCTCGGGCGCTGGATGCTGGGCCTGCCACGCACGGCTGCCTTGTCTCGGTGGGCGGGACGGTGTGGGCAGGGGGCCAGGGGGCCCCTGGGGAGCGGGCCTGGAGCACAGCACTCCCAAGCCTGTCAGTTCTTGCAGTGTTTGAATAGGGAAGGCCCGTGTGCCAGGCTGCCGGAGAAAAGCTTATTTACTTTTGCCTGCGTAACGGAGGAGAATTAATACACCGAGAATTCGTCCAGAAAGCTGATGGACATAACCTCACGCTGAACCCGCCCCCCGGCAGGGCCAGCTCACGTAGGGAATGCTGTCCACTGCTGTCTGAGCGGCCGGAGCCCCGTCATGGGGCAGGAGGCAGGAACGCCATGCCCGTGGGAGGTCTGGGCCAGAGCCCAGGAGGGCAGTGGGCTGGGGGGCAGAGAGGGACCCCCCATTTCAAACCCACCCATCCTCTGGGCTGAAAGAGGGCCCCACCCTCTCTCGGCCGCCATCAGCTCTGTGTAGGTGTTGATCGCATGTCGTTTGGCTTCGTGGAGGCCACTTGGCTCAGTGGGATGAGTCCAGTTTGGACCGGGGCCTCTGGGGTTGATTCTCCGCTGGCTGAGAGGCCTTGGGCATGCAAAGACTTCTCTTTTCTGCCTCCCCTTGTCCCCCGCCCCCTGGGGTTGAGGTGGTGGGGGGCTTTCCTGCCTTCTTCTCAGGGTAGGAATGGCCTTCTTTCTCCTGGTGAGCTTTCTTCCTCTTCAGAAACGCTTGCTCTCTCTCCTCTGCCTCTGATGGTCAGTCTCTCCTGCAGCCCCTTGCTGAGGTCTCCGCGGGCAGAGGCGCTGGTGAATAGTTAGACCTGGCTGGGGCAGAGTCTGACGTCTGGCATTTGCCACTTTCCTTGGTGTAAACACTCCCGGGTGGCTGGTTGCAGACACCCCCGCTGATGTTATTGAACACACAGGTGGGAAGAGATGCTTACGATGGGCTCTCGGAGCCCAGGTGAGCTGACCCCACCCAGCACTGCCTGCGGGCTCTCCTGGAGTGGAGTGTAGGCATAGGAACACGAAAGTACAGAGGGAGGAAGGGCCGCCTCTCAGCCGGGCGAGAGGCTGTGGTCTTTCACTGGCTTCCCTGGTGCCAAGGGGCACTGCTGTCTCCTGGGTGGAGGCTGGACTTGGGATGGAGGTGCAAGAGCAAGGAGCCGACTCCTGGGCCCCCCTCCCCACAGGGTCTCGGTCCTCTCTCGGCTTGGTCTCCTCATGGCACTTGCCTATTTGGTGTGGCGTCTCCTGTGACCTGCTTCCATGGCCCCAGCCTCAGGGCAGTCACCTGAGAGTTGTCACACCTGGCGGCCTCTTAGCGCCTCCATTTTTTCATGAAAGAAACTTGGGTTTATAGAGACCTGCAACCTGGAGCAGCCTGGACTGTCCTCATGTTAGGCTCATTTTCCAGGACAGGGAATAGGTGATGAGGAGGGAACGTGAGCTGACAAGACTGGGGTGCAGCCTTCCCAGGTGTGGGGGGCGGACGGAGAGGAGAGGACACCGGATGGCAGCCCCAGACCCGAGTTCTGCTCGTCTTGTTTCCTTCTCTGGAAACGGGGTAGTTCACGGAATGGGATGATCCAGATAAAGCTGTGGACTCGGTGGTGGGCTTGTACATGCCCAGTGTCAACCCAGTGGAACCGTCTGGGAAGCAGACACCACAGTGCGTGGAGGGCTCGCGCGGCGTTGAGGTGTCCGCGGGCTCCGTGGTGGGAAGGCAGGGTGGGCAGCAGGGGGTGCGGCCCGAGGACAGGGGTGCCGGGCCCGCTAAGTGGAAACTGCTGGTGGCCTCGCCATGTCCTTCCCAGTGGCCGATGTTGGACCCTGAACCCAGCAGAGAGTTGGAGCCTGGAAATCGATTACTATGGCTCAACTAATTGTTAAACTTTTTATGACGAGAAACCTCAGAGGAGCAGAGAGAATGGTGGCGGGTACCCATGCCTGTCACCTACACTTCACCATGGACATTTTGTCCCATTTGCTTCAGCAATTTCTTTTGCTGAAATATTTTAAGAGAAAAGCTGCTGTAGGACATTTGACCCCTAAATCGTTCGGAATGCCATCTCTGGGAATATTCTCCGCACCTTTTCGGTAGCGTCATTACACCCAACAAAGTGGTCAACGCTTTACTACCATCTGATCCCAGTCCATCTTTCTTATCCCCGAGTGTCTATCGGAGCTGGTTTGCTCGGCGCTTTACTTACTGAAGCATCATGCAGTCACGTGCTCCTCAGAGCATTATATTTAGAAGTACATCTGGGTCCCCAAGCGTGGGCTGCTTTCGAGGGTGTGATGCACGTGGAGTGGCGTGTCAAG